ACCAAATAGTTTTAACACCTTTTACTCATCTTATTAATTTAATTTTATCCACTGGAGCATTTCCAGAAGTACTAAAATACTCAAAAGTACTACCAAACGGTGATTCCTCAAAAACTGACAATTACAGACCCATAAGCATTGTTTCTACTTTTGGGAAAGTGATTGAAAAGATTATCAAACAACAATTTTATTCCTATTTTGAGTCAAATAATTACTTTAGCAACTCACAATATGGATTTAGAAGTGCTCGTTCTACTACGAACGCGGTATTTAATGTTGTGAGCGAGGTGATTGAGGGGCTTGAACGCGGCAATCGCATAGCAATTTCTCTTTGTGACTTATCAAAGGCTTTTGACTGCGTTTCACACGACATTTTGCTCCACAAATTAAATTACTATGGAATCAGAGGTATCCCTCTTAAGTTTATAACTTCTTATCTATGTGGCAGACACCAGGCGGTAGTGTCTAAAGGTCATCTCTCTGATTTTCTATCCGTAAAACATGGAGTCCCACAAGGTTCAGTCTTAGGACCTCTTTTGTTTATTATTTATGTCAACGATCTGCCCAAATTCATATCTTCGTACAAAACCATACAATTCGCAGATGATACGACATACGTTATATCAGGAAAAAATAATGATGATTTAAAAATGTCTCATGAGGAAGTTTCTACTAAATCTAGCTCATGGTTTGCTGCAAACAAACTAAAACTTAACTCTGATAAAACGCAAAATATGGTTATATCTGCAAGTAATTTACACAATGATCTAGTTAACAAAGAGACTATTAAACTATTGGGAATAACCATAGAATTTTAAAAAATAACAACAATCTAGGTGTTGGGATTTAAAAACTTTTTATTTATTAATTTAGGGTATAAAAGATGTCAAATCAATGATGGTTTTATAGTCATGGTAGATGTCATACTTGATTATGCATCTTTTATACCTAAATTAATAAATAAAAAGTTTTTAAATCCCAACACCTAGATTGTTGTTATTTTTTAAAATCATCAAAACTTGTTGAATCTTTTGGCTGTAGTAATACTATGTACAACTTTTATAGTTTTTGTTGCATTGACATTCTGTTATCTTCATCCTTCAAAAGTATCTTGTCAATCAGTTCCACGTTGTTCTCCGAGTGCAGAGGTTCCCTCTCACCCGGCTCTGGAACCCAATTGAGCCATGTGTTACCTTAGTCAAATTTAATTTAATATTGAACATCACAGTTATTTTATAACACAATGTACAACATTTCATAACTAAATGTAATTTAAAGGGTTTTTACCCTAATATTTTGGTGGCTCAGGCATTATGACCTAGTAAGTATAACCATCTTTTGCTTTTCAACCATAGTCAAAATTTCAAAATCTCGTTTGTTTTAACTAAATGGTTTATACTTATTTTTAGGCATTTTCGATTTTAATAACCTGATGATGGACTGTGTGGTCCGAAAACGTTTGTTTTATTGATGTGGCCCTTTTAAGGGTTTTTTAAATAAATATACCCATTTACAAAGATTAACCTCTTTTTGTTATAGTGGTATACAGCCAGCTACAGGAATTTTTCCTTGTGGATTTTTCTTTTTTATAAAAAGACGTATTTTTGTAAAAATGATTTATTTTCAATCTTATACTGACACGTTCGCTTTTAAATAATTTATTAGCGCCACCCTGTTTAAACGCTATGGTGCGTGTTGGAGACTCAATTATGTGTATTCCTCATATTATAGTTGTTGACTATGGCATATCCATTAGTTTTCCTAATACATGTAACGTTTCATTCTAACGACATTTAATGTATTCAAATATATTGGCAACAGCCAGCGAGAAATACACCGCGCCAAGATCAATCACATCGGTGCGATACGCACACGCAAGCCAGCCTAGGCTGCACGATAAGGGGCGGCAGACCCACCTTACTACTACCGCCGCACTATATGCTATGACTGTGCTCGTTGCTGCCCTCAGCTGTTGCCAACGCACCACCCTACTCGCCTCCTGGTGCATTGCTTTATAAATTTATTAGCCCATATCCTCTCGTCAATATGTTACTCTCAGAGGTGCTTTACACACTAAAAAAAGCCATTTGGTTATGACAGGACTATGAAAGGGGGGATCTTTTATGTCTTTATTATCTATGTGTTGACATTCTTTATAATATTAATGATAATCAATATCTAGAACAGCTATTTTAAAAACTGTGCAGGGATTGAGGAAAAGTAGATTTAGTTGACATTTTAAGAAACACACTTTTTTATAAAATTACTAAAAGAATAATCATTTTGCTTTTATTTATAACTTTACACACATTAACTACTGAGCGTTATTTACACGTGACATATACAGAGTGGCCCAAAAGTCTGGAAACGGCTAATTATCTCGTAAAATGCTAATCATAATTGTACAAAATTTGAGGTACACCTATTTTGGGATACGGAGATTCCATATTTGATATTTACAATGTTGCCAGATTTGCCGTTTTTCTTATATTATTAGTAACTTTGGTTTTTCAAATACATCACCCTGTATATTCAGTCATTATTGGAATCTCCTATTCAATACGAGTTCAACCATATGTAACACTTATGATTTTATGTAATCTGGAAGGTCATAAATACATAAAACCGAAGTCTGGCAACGCCTAAATTGTTTCAATAAATTTTTTAATACTAACTATTTTCAAATACATTAAAACGTAACAATTGATAGTTTAGAACATTTTTTAACATAGTAGTTACGTTATTAAGTGTTCAAAATGTGCTCAATTTGTGAGTTGACAGCACCCTAATCGATGGTAGAAGGCGTCTACCACATTTCTCCATGATTGTCTAGAAATTATTCGAGATTCATTGATAATTCGTTGCCTTAGCTCTGCAAGACTTGCTGGTTAAGTTTTGTAAACTGAATTTTTCAAGTATCCCTAATAAAAATAATCTTTAGGATTGAAATCGGGTGAACGTGGAGGCCATTCAATTCTACCTTGTCTACCAATTTATCGTCCAGGAAATATCTCATCTAAATATCGCCGAACATTTACACCAACTATCTGACGTTAAATTTCTTTCGACAAAAAATGACCCAATTGAATAAGTAACTACTATATCTGACCATACATTTAATTTTTGTGGTCTTTGAGTATGGTTTTCACGCATTCAGTCTTCAGTGTGAATTTACGTCACACCAGTACCTTAAATTGTGTCGATTTACACTTCCACACAGTGTAAAAGTTGCTTCATCGGAAAAACATATTCTGTTAACGAAATTTTAATAATTTTCAATTTTATCCATCATTACCTCAGTAAACTCTAATCTACGACCAAAGTCATCTTCACTTAATTCTTGCAATAAGTTAATTTTGTATGATTTAAATTTATTTTTACGTAATAAACGTAAGACTGAAGAATGACCTACATCATGTACTTGTGCAACCCTGCCTGGGGATGTATGTGGATCTTCAACAAAACTTTGCTTATATCTGAAGTTTTGTTGTCATTGATAACTCGTTTCGGTCAACCTGATCGGTATCTATCTTTTACTTCTCCAGATTCCTCAAATCGCCTTACAGTTTTTTGTACCGTCGTCTTATGAATAGGAGAACGGTTTAGAGAACGGCATTTTAGAGAAGCAATTTAAATTGCAGAACTTTTTGAACCACAACTACTGTCAATTTTAGTTCATAATTTAAATGGTGAACAAATGTCAAAATCACAGCATTCTCCATTTAAATATTTAAATTTATTAAAATCTACATATTTTGCACTGTTTTATGTATTTAAGATCTTTCAGACTACATAAAATCAAGTGAACATATGGTTGAACTCGTATTGAATAGCTGAACTCGTGTGAAATTCACACTGAATGCGTGAAAACCATACTCAAAGACCACAAAAATTAAATGTATGGTCAGTTATAGTAGGTACTTATTTAATTGGGCCATTTTTTATCGAAAGAAATTTAACGTCAGATAGTTGGTGTAAATGTTCGGCGTTATTTAGATGAGATATTTCCCGGACGATAAATTGGTAGACAAGGTAGAATTGAATGGCCTCCACGTTCACCCGATCTCAATCCTAAAGATTATTTTTATTAGAGATACTTGAAAAATTCAGTTTACAAAACTTAACCAGCAAGTCTTGCATAGCTAAGGCAATGAATTATCGATGAATCTCGAATAATTTCTAGACAATCATGGAGAAATGTGGTAGACGCATTCTACCATCGATTAGAGTGCTGTCAACTCACAAATGGAGCACATTTTGAACACTTAATAACGTAACTATTATGTTAAAAAATATTCTAAACTATCAATTGTTACGTTTTAATGTATTTGAAAATAGTTAGTATTAAAAAATGTATTGAAACAATTTAGGCGTTGCCAGACTTCTGTTTTATGTATTTAAGACCTTCCAGACTACATAAAATCATAAGTGTTACATATGGTTGAACTCGTATTTAATAGGAGATTCCAATAATGACTGAATATACAGGGTGATGCATTTGAAAAACCAAAGTTACTAGTAATATAAGAGAAACTGAAAATCTGGCAACATTGCAAATACCAAATATGGAATCTCCGTATCCCAAAATAGGCGTATCTCAAATTTTGTATAATTATGTCTAGTAATTTACGAGATAATTAGCCGTTTCCAGACTTTTGATCCACTCTGTAGATTTACATTGTATTAAGTTACGTTTAAGTATAACTAACTGAGTTACCTATTTATAAAGAATTTTTCATTTAATTTTTTTTAATTTATGTTTTGTATTATTCAACCCAATCTGGAAACTGCAAATCCCAAATAACAGGAACATAAAGGGAAAATAGACATAGTAATGTTGTTAGCCAGATAAAGTACACACCAATACCAGCTTTAGCTATTTCTATACCTTTAACTCTACAAGATCCTACGATTATTGCATTTGGAGGTGTGGATACTGGTAATAAAAAACAAAGACAACAGGCTAATGCAACAGCCAATCCTAAATAGATTGGATACACTTAAGCCACTACGGATATATCCATAATAATAGGTGTAAGAATAGTTACGTAAGCAACGTTGCTGGATAAGAAATGGGTAATAATTGAGGCCATACCAATACAAACTATAAGTATGTAGATTCTGTCATTTTGTAAAAACGACTTAAGGGAATTAGCTATAAGTCCAGTCATTCCACTTTCTTTAGCAGCATCCGCCATTGCGAATCCACCTCCTAAAATAAACAATAACCCCCAATGCATTTTGTGTTCAATTATTTTCCAAGAGACAATACTACGTGTTAGAGCAACTGGTCTTTGATCTTCATCTTTAGTGAAAAAGTAAATAAAATCCGGATAAAAGGGGATGATAATAATAACCATAAAAATTATAATTGCAACAACATCTCCAACTCTAACATCTGTTATTTAGGCCATCCAGTCATAAAGCCAGGTTGTCTGAAAAACCAGAGAACAATGCATGAAAAATGAAGCTAACACCAACAACTATTTCACTAAAATGTAGGGCTTTAAGATCTCGAATTTGCTGTTCTGTTATTTTCTTTGCTATCCTTTCTGCTTCTGCACTTAAGTTAACTGCTCTGGCTTTTCTGGACCGAGGTCTAAATATACCGAAAAACCAAAATTGTATCCATGTACATAATTGTTAATATACCGTTTATTGTCATAATGGGAATATTAAACATCATCCACTTAGCAAACTCAACTCCAGGACCGTCTGGAAATCTTGTTTCATAAATTCCTTTGTAAGCTAAATGAGATCCGGATCCTATTATACATCCTGTACCTCCTATAGTTGCCAAATAAGCAATAGATATATAGTAGCACATTGTTATATCTGTAGGACTTAGATCTTCCTCCTTCTTCTCCATCTTTATCAACAATTTTTGCATCTTTTTCCCTATTCCACATGTGTAGTAAACCTTGTTCTTGCATAGCAACTAGCGAACCTTCTACTATGGGCTACATTAATGCAGTATCCACTTCGAAATAAAGGCAGTTACTACACATAAACATAAGTGCAAACGTTTTATACTATAGCCCACGAATTTAATAACATTATAAAGCTATTTTGATATAAAGTCTTGATTATTTCATTGCAATTGCTATCACAATACTTCCGATAAGCATCATGTTGGGATCATTCATAAATGAATATAAATGAGTTAATTATTAATGTACAATTTGCTGAAAAATTATGTGCGATGAGAGGCCAACTCTGACTCAACCTAAAGGTTATATACTGTATGAAAATACTGTGTAGCTTAACAGCGGCTTCTTGAACTCATATAAAACGGAAATCTGGAAATCTACAAATTAAAACACACAGATATAATCCTGAATGGCCAACTTGAGACAAACAGTTTTCCCCTTCTCAACCTATTTCATTAGAGACTATAAAGTGTAAATGCATGCCAATAATAGATCACTTGAGAAAGGCAATCAGCCGAAACAGCTGTAGCGATAAGAGTTTAAAATATATTTTGCGGAAGTTTTAAGAACACAAAGTTTTCAGTGTTTTTACAATGAATTTTTATCAATTATCGGTCGAAATCCATTAATTATTTCAAATTTTGTTATTTAATCTGTTTTTTTTTATTAAGGAGATTCGTTTGTATTGCGAAATTTGTTATCATTTTTCTTCAAATGGAGTAGAAAAAGAAACTTTATAACCTGTACGGAAATATATTTTGATATAAGTGGATTGCATTATTTTGATATGATCAGAATAAGCACTTTCGTTAAAACATAATATTCTTTTTGTTCAAAATATGGTTCAACCATCTTTGTTTTTAAAAGTTTTATCTCAGTTTGTATATATCTATGCTTTAAAATAATTATGAAATAACATTAGCTAATTAAATTGATTTTTTTAAGAAGTAGAAAATTAAGCATCATAAAATGACATTCTAAACTTTTAAAAATTTAAAGTTGTTTTCTGACGCCAAATATTTTATTTAGCAACCTCCATCCCCAAGCTATAATTACTAAAGTGGTTTGTGTTTGTTTTTAAGATTAGTTAATTGTCACAGGTCTATTTATTTTTCATTACAAATCGTTGGTTTCGTATTTGCAAATACAAATTACCAGTTTTTCTCGAGGGCAGAAGGGATAAAAAAAATCTAAATTATCATCGTCTGATTGTTTTTAATTAATAATGTGGGAGTTTTTTGTATGAAAATATTTGATAAAAATACAGTGAGATTTGTGAGCTAAAAATAACTTTGGGAATTGAGTAATTTTAATCTTTTTTATTTAGTAATAATTAGCTAGTGTTAAACCGTTCCTTTAAACTTTGAAAGCTGTTTCTTTTTGAATTCTCAGTGTTTTGTTTAACCCTTAATAAAACAATGCATTTCGTTTTGTGTGGTGCTTTACGTATGACCAAAATTTCAAAGTAATCCGGCAAATAGTTAAAAAGCTATTTAATTATTTATTTTAAATTAAAATTGTTTGCAATATAATATAACAATATAAGCTTGAAAATAATAAAGCAGCTAACAATAAATATAACATCTTATGAAAGAATAAGACTCATTATATCGATATTATTAAAAAAATAATAAAAAAAAACGATTTTAAATAGTGCTAAATTATTTAAAAAACATGTTGATTAGAATGTAAGTTGAATGTTAATTTTTTGCTTATAAACAATAAAAATAACTTTTTAACTATTGGCTATACAAAAATGTTTTCTTCAAGTTTTAAAAGCATGTATTTTTAAAGAAATTCGAAAAAAGAAAAAGTTTCTTAGGATAATGTGGAACGAAGTTGTCTCTTTTTTTAATTGACAGCTTTGTTTATAACAATTAATATATCAAATTACCGTCATTTTAAAGAACATATTTTACTGTGAAAGAGGTTACCTTTCAGAATGTGGTTGTCAAAATTTCGAGGTAATGAAGAGGGTTGGAGGAGCTGTTAACTGTATCTCTGGTTCTTGTTTATGGATTTTGACTATTTTTTAAATTTGTATGTACTTTTTACTCACATTACCAATTTGTATTATTTAAATAAATAAATTGTTAAATAAATAATCATTTATTTAAACAATTTTTTTAATTTTTAATTTTTTTATATACTCAGACGGAGAAAATTTTGGTCAAATTCAAAGTATTTCAGTTTTTTATTTTAGCCCTATTTTATTGATATTTTTAATATACTAGGTACAGTTTTTTAATAAAATTTTGTATTTGACTTATTCTACGGGGTACCCCCTCTGTGGCTCAGTGGTAAGAGCGCCTACCTTTAAACCTAAAGGTCGTGAGTTCGAATCTCACCTGGGTGGAAATTTTCGTTTATTAAAAAAATTAATAAATGAAAATAATTTCTATCCTTGTGCGATCGGTACTCACCGGAGGGACCGCAGACGTTCGGATACAAATAGCGTCTCTTAGCAAAGACAATGACGCGACTTTGCTAAGTATCAAGACAATTACTCTACACACACAAACACACACACATACACACACACACACACACACACACCACACACCACACACACACACACACACACACCACTACACGAGGTACCTGACTGTACCATGCCAATGATCATAGTTGTCGAGGCATTAACCCAATAAAAAAAAATTATTATAAAAAAAAATCAAAATACGACAGAGCGACTGGTCCAGATAAAATTCACATCGCTGATTAAACTTATAGATAAAGACAATTAAAGCCCAACACCTGTCTTCTTTAACAACAAATGCAAATCTTCTAGTGAGATAGAATTGCTACTATGTATTAACTGTAAATTAATCAGCATAATCTCACAACTACTGAAAATATTTGAAGATTGTATAGAAAAGACAATTACTCTACACACACAAACACACACATACACACACACTACATTAATAAACTTATCTTGATTAAGACTGGCTGAATGACAATTGTCCAAGCCAAAAACACACAAAAAAAAATATTATACGGGGTTAACCGAGAGATTTTATTTTTTTTTTTTAATTTGAAATATCCTGTGGAATATATCCGTTAGCGGATTTTCGTAAAACCTTATTTTTCAGTTGAAACCATGTCTTCTAAGTATTATGTTTTTTGTTTCATGTGAAAATATGGATTGGTTCATTTTTAGAAGCAAAATGACTTTGCCACCCACAATTTACGACTTTTCCTATTATTACCATTATCTTTTGTATTAATTTGTAATACGACGATGGGGCTTTGGTGACTGATATCGAAGGAATGTCATATCGACATCCCAGAAGCACTGTATTTAAATAATGATTAAAAGCAACGACATGATCTTGGTTTTAATGAACAATGATAACAATAACAAAAAAAAACAACTTAAATGTAACTTAACCTAAGTACGCAAATAACAAAGAAAAACTACTAAAAAATAACTTAATACTTTGTATTGCCTCCCCTAGCCTCTATAACTGCCTGTACACGTCGGCTCATGCTGTCTATGAGGTTGCGAATATCATCTTGCTGGATGTTTTGCCATTCCTCTTCTAGAGCCAAGCGAAGTTCGTTAATTGAGGCTGGTGCGACTTCGCGACCTCTAATATTTCTACCAAGCATGTCCCAAACGTGCTCTATTGGGTTCAGATCTGGCGAACACGCTGGCCAGTTCATTTTATTAATACCAACTTCCTCTAAATATTGCGTGACACACATTGCAGAGTGGGGTCGCGCATTATCTTGCATTAATAGAAAATCATCGCCGATATATTGAGAAAAGGGTACTACGTGATTCGCTAAAATTTGCTTAGTATACCAGTGTGGAGTCAACGAACCTTCAATAAATGCCAATTGAGTGTGCGTCTCTCTGAATATTCCTACCCATACTCGTTCTTTCCTATCTAATAAGTGAAGACAGAATCTTGACTCATCCGTAAAAGAAACATTACTCCATTGTCCTAAATTCCAATGAACGTATCTGGTCTCATTTGTAAAAAAAAAAATTACTGCATTGTCCCAAATTCCAATGTAAATATTTTCTGAAAAATTGTAGTCTAACCACTCTGCTGTGGAAATAATTTGGGCCCAGTTGCTGATCTGCAACTTTGCAAACCAAGTTCATATAATCTTCGACGAACTGTAAATACACTTACATTATTGCCTTGAACCTCTTGAAGCTGATTTCTTATTTACAACACTGTTCAATAACGATACTGCCTTTTTACTTTTTACTTTTTACAGCTATTTTTCATGCAAATTATTGAAAGTCATATATTGAAGCAAAAGAGAAAAATGAAAAAAATTATACTTATCTA